TGCTGATGCAAGCATCCATTCTTTCATTTTTTAATTTTCAGTGCAGGCACCACTGTGGCTTTGTCCAAGTTGTTCATTTAGACCTGAGAAAGTTTCCCTGGAAAAATTCTTAAAGCTGCCTCATTATCAAATATCTCATAAAGCCATCTTCTGCAGTGCAAGTTAGAAACCCTGAGTTTTTCACCACTACCTATCATGCTAACTAATATTATCTCACTGCTTCTTTGCACTTGCTTATTTGTTTGAATCCATCCACTGTTGTTCGTGTCTTCCAGGTGAGGATGGTTGTGCGGTCTCTGCATACTATTTGACAATGCTTTTTTCTAATTCCTTTGGCACTACATTAATGCAAGTAACAAGCAATACCAGCCATGTAGCATTTCCAGAGGTCAGGTCTAGACGATGAACAGCTTCTTGGCCCAGCGCACCCAGAAGTTATAGTACTCCAAATGTCAGGAGAATGGATCTGGAAGCTTGTTAGCATTCATGGATCCCAGAGTTTGGATTCAATCTGCAGAACACAGCCATCCTGTACTTACTTAAAATTAAGTCTCACCATAACTGAAATGCAAAATTTAACCCTCCTACGCTCCCCCTCCTGAATGCACAAATTGGAAATAGATCCACACACTGAACTCTGTTCTATATATCATTTAAATAGTTCCTGATCAGCACAGCGCAAGCTATATGTGCCTAGCCACCTGCTTCTTTTAAGAATTATATTTCCCCTGAAATAGACTTAACTCAGAAATTTATAATCACACAGTTTTGATCTACTTAACATAAAATTTTAATAAAAAATACAGCATTTGTAAAACATGTCAGCTTGAAAATAAAACTAGGTATTTCAATAACACCCAAGTGCCCTATTTAACATTTTTAGAATGGAACGTTTATTTCAAAATTTGTTTCCAAAGTGAAATTGCTTTTAGAGGAAATCATTAATAAGGAAATCAAAATGAAATATTTAAATTGCATTGAACAAAATAATTTGACCCAAAGCATCATGGAGAAAATTTCACCACTTTGTGGAAAAAAAGTCTATATTTGCTAGTTCTTTATTTCTCTTCAGGATAGAAATATTTTTTTTTTTCCTCTCCTTTTCTGAATAATGGAATTTCCAAGACAGGTTTCCAGGCTCTACTCTAAAATCTTGTCCTCTTGCCTTTTAATATGCCTTGCTGTTTTATATAAAACACTGTGAGATAGATAGGTTTCCCCCAGAGGTAATGCTGACCACATCCAAAGTACAAAATATCTCAAAATATTTATCCTTTATTAATATTGATGTGACTATGTTGGGTTGGTTCTTGGGCTTTAGGGGGAGGAACTGGGGGAAGGGAGTACTTCAGCAATGAAAATGGGAGGGGGGAAATGAACTGTGTTCAGTCTAAATGCCAAATTTTGATTTTTCCTTTTGCTAAAAACAGAGCAAAGAACAAAGATACGTTTTTTGTTTAACATGTGATATTTCTTCTAATCCAAAACAAACTGTGTGTTGTTGGGCACTTGTAAGGAAAAAAAAATGAAGATGTAAAGAACTTTATTTTTGAAAAATTGCTAAAAGACACATTTTCCACATTAGCTAATCATTCTGGATATTATACACCTACCTAAGGTAAAAAAACAATTCAGATTCCGTTTTTGACATGAGAGTTTAGAAGCATACTGCTGCCAGGAGCAGGTCTACAAATGAGGCAATTGGGTTTTTTTAGAATAAAGTGCTGATAACTGTACTGATGATTAAGACACTGTTACAGGAAAAGAGGAACGAACTGGTCAGGGGGCTCCCTCATGTTGTGGGTGATTATCTTAGCCAAGAGACCAGGGTAATAAGGGCTTCCTCCTCTTGCTTGTTGGTGAAAATATATCCACACACATGCAAAACAAGCGAAGAAAGTCTAAGGCACGTGCCAAGACTTTTCAGCAAATCTGAAACACTATTTTTTCAGAGAATTTACTATCTAGGCAAAAAAACAATAAAGAAACTAGACCTGTGTCTTGCAAAATGCTGAGTGGGCTTTCTCCAATATAATTTTGGGCACAGACACTCGCACTCCAGCAATTAAGAGCTCCACTTCTCCAGTCTGATGTGATCAATATATAGAATTAAAACCCTAATCTTGATTTCTCCTCTGGTTGCATGATATAGTGGTAACAAAATTACTGAAATGTCTATGAAGTCTACCGGATTTGAAACTTCTAGAAAGTATTCCCTGATAGAACTATGTAAACAGAAGAGAGATTAACTCTTCATTTCCTAAAAAGAAAGATGTGTGATGTGAAGCTAAACATTTTCAATAGAGAAATACATGTCAGGTGTTATTCATTTTCCAAAAGGCAGATATAAATGCCTAATATAAATACAAGAACACAAAACATCAGGTATATAGGATAAAGATTCTCAGCATGGACCAGTTATGAAAATTAATTTCAGGTTGCTTGATTCAAGCACAGTTACACTTCTATATATGTGGAAAAATACATAAAGAAGCTACCACCAGAAATATGATAGATAAAAACAAAGACTGAAACTGCCAAGCAAGAATTAATTTGTATTACAGGTGAGTGAGCACTCTCTTCTGTTTCTGTAATATTCTGAAATGTTCCTTTCAATCTGGTTCACATTGTAACTCCCTAATAATTTTGATTTCAACCATTTAAAGAATCAAGGTTCGCTTTCACATCAGAACAGATCCTTCTGCTCCTATTTTTGGACTTTTATGCAAGATCTTGAACAAGCATTAAGTTGAAGGCATTATTAGACCAAAGAGATCAGGGACTCCTGGACAAAATTTAATGGTAAACTACCATTAGAAATGGCTGCTGTAACCAAGCAGTGGCAGACTGCCAGATTGCCAGTGCAACGCCCATCTTAAAAAAGTCTCAAGAAGTGATCCTAGGAAATGCAGGCTGGTAAGTATGACTTCTATCTCCAAGTAAGACAGACTAAGCTCTTATGAGTAAGAAAGAGTAAGATCACTGAGCCTATAG